GAGACAGAGAGACTGATTCAGGTTGGAGCCAATCCACATTGCCTCGGACAGCTCTGGCCAGACCCAGTGATGTCTAGGGCATGTTTCTGGTATGCCGGAAAAAGTCCTACTCAGAGTCCCATCTGTACCAGGTTATTCTCTCGGGTTCAGAAAAATGAATGAGGCTTTGACTCAGGAAGCAGAAGCATCCTCTGCCAAGCTACAATCTAGACAGAGAATGAATCGGTCTTTACAGAAATCCACACTCGTTAGGCATGAATCGAGCCATTTAAACACTGAGTGTTTTATTTACTCACTACTGAAGAAGGGGATGAAAAAACAAATTTCGGAAGAGAGCCCTCTTACCTCCATTACTCATCACTGCTGGAGCAGTTCTCCAAATCTCTACATCCAGTATCCGCTCGACAATGCCATTTTAATGGCTCTTCATTCAGACAGTTTTGTTTGGAATAATGGGAGTCAGTTGGGTTCAGACAATCTGGTTCTATAAAGGTGTGAGATTCCACCAGGTCTCAGAGGACATGAAGGACTAAGAGTCTCTCCAGAGCTGGGCCAAAAAGACATCCGGCTTTCCTGCTTGCAATCCAGTGTCCTCCACTGATCAACTCCTTAGTGCTGTTTGCTCTGTTGTTGCATAGAGAAAATGATGGCTGGCCTTGAACTCAGATCTGCCTGCCTCTGCCTCCCAAGTTCTGGGATAAAAGGCATGTGCAAACTACCACTGTTCAAGTGAGTTCCAGGACAACCAGGGTTACACAGAAAAATGCTGTCTCAGAAAAAGAAGGAAGGAAGGAAGGAAGGAAGGAAGGAAGGAAGGAAGGAAGGAAGGAAGGGAAACGATGGCATCCTGACTTGACACCAAGTCTAGGAGACAAGAAGGGGTTGGTAAATTGCAGAGCAAGGTGAAGGCCCTGTAGCAGGGGCTACAGCCATGGTCCACACACTGCTGGTTCTCATTGATCGATTTACTCTCACTTCAACAAGTAGTTACCTAGGGCTTATTGAAAGATACTACATCAAGATTAGAGTGAGAACCAAAAATGAGGACATCATCCCAGGGAACAGGTAATCCAGGATATAGAGATGGAGAGAGTGTCCCAAATGATGTTAGGACCTTATACAGCTCCTAAATGCTGTGTTGAAGGCTTGGCCCTCAGCTTGAGACACTGTTGGGAGCTGGTGGTCTTTGAGTGGTGGGATCTAATGGGAGATCTTTAGGTCACTGGGACTCAACCCTCAAATGCAATCACTGGACTTTGGTCTGGTCCTCTTCTTTCACACTGAACTAGGAAATGAACAGTCATACTCCACTATGCTCTCCCACTGTAATACGATTGGCTGGTATATGTGCAAAGGAACAGGGTCAATTATCAGGAACTGAAAACTTCTACAACTCTGAACCAAAAGAAACCTTTCTTCCCTTCAAGCAACTTTGTCTCAGGTATTTGTTACAGTAACAGAAAGCAATGAAAAAGGGAGATCCCCAGATGCAGGTGGTCAAAAGATCAGCCCGTCAAAACCAGAGACAGAGGAAGGAGCCTATGTGTTTTGAATATTCAGTGACATATACAGCTGGGAGAGATTTTATACACATGGTGGTAAGAAACACCTTAAAAGCAGCAAAACAAAGACAGTTGTTCACCTTAAAAACAAAAGCTACAAAAGGTTACTCATGAAAATAATAATGTAAGCCTCAGGTATAGAGTGAATCAATATTGCATAAATATATTGAGAGGTTGTAGAGGTGGGGACCAACCAAAGAGCAATCGACAAAGGCTTGAATTCTTACCCTGCCCTCCAAAAGGAAGTCAACACATAATATCAGAAGCTGAGAATCAAGACATCATGATTCAAGTGTGACATCTAGAAAAATCGAGCTAACATCCCCTTGCCAGGAGAAAAAAAAGTTAGAGAAGTTTAAAATGGTAGCTTTGGGATGGGAAAGGAAGTGAGGGAATAACAAAATAGAATTTTAAAGACAGCAGCATGGAACTATTTTTGTCATTGTTGTTGCTTTGTTTCTTGAGACAGGGTTTCTCTGTGTAGCCCTGGCTGTCCTGGAACTCACTCTGTAGTTCAGACTGTCCTCAAATTTAGAGATCCGCCTGCCTCTGCCTCCCAAGTGCTGGGATTAAAGGTGTGTGCCATCATGCCAGCTAAGCATGGAACTATCTGACTACTTCAATTTTACTCACATATAGCATGGCTAAAAAACCTGTTAAGCAAACAAAAGCAGCCATATGTGTCTCAGGGTTGTTTTAAATCATGCCATAGTGCTAGATAAAATACAGAAATCCAAGTTGAATTTGAGCTCTCTCTCTCTCTCTCTCTCTCTCTCTCTCTCTCTCTCTCTCTCTCTCTCTCTCTCGAACCTATTACTAAGCAAGTACTCTGCTACTGAGCCATGCTATGTGTGGTTTGACCTTGTATTTCATAAACATTAAGTAATTTTAAGTAGGTTATACTCCAAACATTGAATGTGATATGGTTTTATTAAAAAATAAATGAGTTAAAATTCAGATTTAGTGTTGTTTAGTTTTATTTGCTCAACCTGACACCCATTGCTCATAAGAATCCATGTCATTAGCTATTTTGTTTACTTTATTACAGAGGCCATTCTGTAAACAGCAGAGAAGTTTCTTTAGTTTTATTTCCAGGCTGAAGTATGCTATCTCCCAAGCAATGAGCTCTTTTCCCCCCTTCTAACCAATCTGAACCATGCAGAGAAATTGTTCCAGACTGAAGAACTGTCATCAAGGGCTGTCGTTCTAATGAAGTCTAGCCCCCTGGCCTGAATTTGATGGAGCTACCACAAACTTGGTGCTGAGGCAATGAGCAAAATGGCCACATAACTCAAATGTCAAAAGTTAAAACATGGTGAAGAGTAAACAACAAACAAAGCCCCACGTGGCTTTTCAAGTCAACAGCTCCAGAAAAATATTCAGAGCCGGCTGTATCCCCAGGGACCAAGTCTGGAGTCAGCACCATTCAGGAGGCACAGGAGAGTGTCTGGGAATAAGACCTTTCTCTTTCCTTCACAAGATAAGCATTGGTCATGAGACCCAGGCAGGCCACTTGTTGGGATGCTGAAATTTGCTCTTTGTCCCTATGGGAAGAGATTATCTGTCATCAAGGAGAAGCTAGCTTCAGCTTCTGGAGAAGGGAACAAATTATCCCTGGCTGGCTCATTAGCGTCACTGCTCAAGAGCACTGAGAGGCAGAACTCTAAAGGGAAATGAACACACACCAAAAACTCGCTTGCTGCTTGCAGGCTGACACCGGGCAGACTCTGCTTCGGAGCAAGTAGCCAGGGTTCACGCAGTGTGGAAGCCCTATGCCTTGCTCATCTCCCACAGGGCAGGGCACAAGGAAGCACCCTGCTCTTGCAGCACTCACAGTCACATTCATCTGCTGAGACGTTGCCTAGTTGTGAGAGGCATCAAGAAGTGTGTTGGCCTAACTGTGTCTGGGAAGCACCTTAGAAGCTCAGAGGGCACAGGGAAGGGAGTGTGAACCCTCTCTGGAGCAAGAAGGGACAGACACCCAAAACCTGACTTGCATCACTTACTTCTGAGCTGGGTTCACATCGAGCCAGCAGCTGCTGGATTTGTTTCCTCATCTGTAAAATGGGTATGGCAGGTCCATTTCCCTCACAAATGGCACAGAGACAATCCCTGCTGAATGTAAACTCACTCCTTAGAGCTGGGCAACCTCTCCCTACAGCCACCCCATGTTAGCACTTCCTTAGACCCACTGAGGTTCACTAGACGATCAAATTTGAACTCTGAACCAAAGATGATGGGTGGAACAACGTCTGTCACTAGCAGGAGTGTAAGATCCAATGCATGGTGGGAAGTGCCCATGTGGGTGGAGCCCAGAAGTGGAATTACCAATGGAGCGGCTGGTTGGGATACCAGGAAACACCTGCCTTCCAGAATGTTCCTGGCAGTGTTCAAAGTGATCATTTCCTTGAAACAGTTCATGGGATCCAGGAAGGACTCACAGATGCAGGTAAAGTCTTGCCACGCACCTGGCACAAGCTTCCCCACCTGGTGAGAGGGGGCATTGGGGTGTGGTGACTGAATGGAGTTGGGGAAGAACACTTTATCTTTATGTGCCCTGAGGCAGAGAGGACAGAAAAGGAAGACTTACCCCAAGATCCCATGGCCACCCAGGCCTAGCTTACACAGTACAATCTCAATATAATCACCTATGACCCGTGAATGACTGCTGGCTGACTTCATTAGCCGTCCCTCCCTTTTGCCTTGTTGATAAGGTCGCCAATATGTCTTTAAAAGATTTATTTATTTATTTATTTACTTATTTATTGTGTATACAGTGTTCTGCCTGCATGTATGCCTGCAGGCCAGAAGAGGGCACCAGATCTCATTACAGGTGGTTGGGAGCCACCGGAGAAAGTGAGCATGACAGTGGGAGAACAGGGGGATAGAAACCTGAGTCCTTGAGACTAGGAGTGGCCATGTTTGCTCTGGATCATTCCACAGAACTCGTGTGTGTGTGTGTGTGTGTGTGTGTGTGTGTGCGCGCGCGCGCGCGCGTGCACGCGCGTGTGCATGTGCGTGTGTCCATGTGTGTATGCGCGCACGTGTGCATGTGCGTGTGTCCATGTGTGTATGCGCGCACGTGTGCATGTGCGTGTGTCCATGTGTGTATGCGCGCATGTGTGTGTGTGTGCGCGCGCGCACATGTGTAAAGGTATGGAGGCCAAAGGCTGACGTCAGGTGTTTCCCTCTGTTACTGTGCATCTTACTTGTTCCAAGGCCCAGCCTCTCACTGAGTACAGAGTTGACCATTTCAGTTAGACTGGTGGTCAACAAGCTCCCCAGAAGCCGCCTGTCTTCGCCAGCACCTGTCCCGTGTAGCCTGGCACTAGGGTCACAGATGTGTGCTGCTATCCCTGGCTTTTATGGAGGTTCTGGGGATCCAGATTTAACCCTCATGCTCCCACAGGAAGTATTTTGCCCACTGGGCCATCTCCCCAACCCAGGTCGTACACATCTGAAGCTAACTATTCTAAGAGACACGTCTTCTAAACAAGAAGGATTGGAATCATTAGAAAGAAGGATTAAAGCAAACTAACTCCAGCAGAAAGGACTCTCAGGGTGACTGTAGGACCAGACGTTTTCAACCCAGGCAACCAGGAAAGAAACTTTCAATCTTGGATGCTCTTTCAGAACATTACATGAAACCCCCTTTCTTTCTACTTAATTTCTGTAAAGGATTTGCTGCGTGCCTGGGGATGGACTTGGTTTGCAGTTTTCTTGTAACCCTTGTAATTGCCTCAGCATGAAGGACTTGTTGTTTCCAGTCTAACTTTAAACTGAAGGCTTTTTTTGCATCATCTGTCTCCATGCTCCACGTGACATCAGTGCACGGTTCTGTTCCTCATGGCCGGGAGCAGCTCTAAAGGAGGCAACCTCCACACCTGTGCCTTGCCCAGCCCATTTCCTGGCTGGGGAGTGTAGCACCGTCTCTGTCTACAGCCAATCATCAGTGCGTTCATCTCACGGCCAGGAAGAAAGCTGCTGTGTCGTCACGCTGAGGCTTCGGACGGTTTGTCTGGGCCGTTTCCCACAGCTGGCATCTGCTAAAGCCAGTCTCCGGCAGATGATTTACCACAATTATCGCAGTGATGGGTATTAGTCTGAGTCTCACATCCTGAATCTCCAGGAAATCAAGGCAGACCACAGGAAGCAGAGCTATTATCCAACTAGGGCTTTGTGTCTTCTTATATTTAGATTTCACGGGGACAGTGACTCTAGAGCCATGTGGCTTCACATTTCCACATTTCCAATACACCCGGCGCAGGCTGAGTCATCATGACTTGGGGCTATGGAATGAGGGATACGACCACCGTGTTTCTCAAACCCTATGCTGGCCAGAGAGTTAACCCTACATCCCTCTTTTCTGTCTAGAACAGCCAAATCAGACCCTCATGGGGACAGTCTGGGAAGCCATATCTATCTGAACAATCCTGGGGCAGTTAGGGAATTACTGATCTAGCATTCTGTGAAGCCGTAACTGTCTTGCCAAGGGAGCTAACAGAGTTGGTGACTATGGAGAAAGGCAGACCCAACTACCTATGGTCCTGGATGAGGATGCTACTTCTTAGAGCCTCCGTGTCCTTGTCTGTCCAATGGAGATAATAGGTCTCACTTCTCCAGTGCTTGCTGAAGACTGCAAATATGATACACGAAGACACCTGGTGCTCAGTACGAGCTTAGCCAATGGTGACCATTACCATTATTGTGACAGAGATTTTCAGAACTCAAAGAGGCCTTATGTGTAGTCGAGGATGGAGACTTTGAACGGCATGCAGGAGGAGACTCTGCAGTCTCCCTTAACTTTGGCACCACTGGGAACCCGGTCTGAAGAAAGAGGCCTGCTGGTGTAGACCACATGTTCAGAAATCTTGACGGATATTGCTTGTCTTAAATCATTTTGAATGTTCTATGTAGACTTTACTGGTGCCGGGCCGTTGGTGCTCGCACAGGCCTAACCGAAACCCTCATTTGCTTCAGTCACCTCCCTCCTGGGCAGGGAAGCTGGCACTTGAAATCTGGGCTCAACATGTTGGCGAACTCTAAAAGTCAGGCAGGGCTGTTTTGGCTCCCCTGCTTGGAAGGACACGAGGACAAACACTGCCTAATCAGCTGTCTGAACTTCCTGGTGCTGATTTGGACAACAAACAATGTGACCTTTTGACAGAAAGCAAAGGTAACCAGAAAAGCTCGTGTGGCTGAGTGTGAAACCCCCACTGCCCAGCCCCAGCACAATGATGAGCTGGGTGTCGGCTGGGTCGGCAAAGGTGATGACAATCTCCAAAATTCTAGGCATACCGTCATTTAGTCTTCAGAGCTGAGCCATGAAATGGGTGTTAGTCTCTCGATGGATGAGAAGACAGACATTCTTTCCAGGAACTCTGTAGAACCTTGGACAAACTGCTTCACATGCCATGACAATAATGTCTAACTATTTGAGAAATGAGAGTAGACTAAAACTTATTTATCCTAAACCAGAAAGTCTTGGTTCTTATGCTTTCCTCCCCTTGGATGTGGCCTCTGGGGAGTTCTTAGCTAATATCTGTTGTGGGGTTTGTTCCATGGCTAAAGTGGGGGAAATAATGTACTCTCTACCTAAAAGTTTTTAAAAGATCAAATGAATTCATGTGGGAAAGCATTGTGCAGCCAATGGGCCACAATCCCATGTGTCGGGGGAGCTATATTCCTCAGTTAAACAAGTTGCCCAAAGTCACAACCCATTATATACTAGAGATAAGATGCAGGTTTTTACAATAGACCCCACTTCTTTTATGGTAGAAGACACATTTGGGGGGGTTCTAGACTTATTCATAGGCCCAGATTTCGAGAACCTGCAATTTCATCATCAACACACTATCATCAGTGCTCCACGGTCAGTGGCACCCAGCATGCTCTGGGAATGCACATGGGGCAGTCTACTAGACCAAGACACCTCAAAGGAACTGTAGCTGATGGCAAGGCTGTGCAACGCCCCAGTCTGCACCCTCCAGCTCTTCAGGAACCTCCTTCCTCTCCTCCTGGCCACGCACCTGCCACAGTCAGTCTCTTTGGTGCTCCCAATGTCCCCTGTACAAAGGCAGTTTCCTGAATGCTGCTATTCTCAGCAACACACAGGGAACTCAAGAAGACTCGAATAACGAACCCTAGGTCTCACGGCACTGCAGAGATGAACCTGGCCACACTCCTGCTAGCATGTGGAGAATCCATCCTTTCCACCCTAAAGTGGATGCTGGTGAAGGGCAGATCAAGGCAGATCACCAGGTTGGAGCCATCCTGACAGGTTCTCAGAGCTCATTGGAAGTGCAGCAGGGACGGCAGAGCCCGGAAGAGAGCACTGACTTCTGGACAGGGTATGAAAGGGAGGAACTCTGGTCCCCAGGAGGGCAATACCAGAGGGACTCCCAGGACACAGTTGGTCAGTTAGGAGCCAGGGAGCTCTGGGCTCCTGGTGAATCCCCAGCGATCAAGGCCAGCCCTGGACAGCCTTTGACGCTGCTCTGAGTGAGCCCACGACTTCCTGGCAGGCTGGGCGTGGCCTGGTCGCCTTGACCACCAGAAAGAGAAACCTTGGGAACGCCTGCCTGATCAGGACACTGCTGTGCCCTGGAGTGAGGCTCACCACCGGGGCTTGCTCCCTTGCAGTCACCCTTCCTGACCTGGGAATTCTGAGAGCATGCCTGCCCAGAGCCCTAGAAGTACCCCTCTGCCCACAACACACCTTACTGTTTTAAAAACATACCTCAAGCCAAAGTTGCTGACGAGGTTGGAGAAACACGTGAGAAGGAAGACGGTGGTGGGGATGAAGGAGCTGAGCCAGCAAATCCAAGAAACTAAATGCCGGCGGCAAAGGTTGCTGAAGGACAGCAGGCAGCTACTAGAGGAAAGACACCCTGTGCGGGCTGAAAACCAGCTTTTCACGGAATACCTGCGTAAAAACAGCGAGCACTGTGAAAAGACACAGGAGGCTCTGTGGAAGCAGTGCGCCCAAGAATGCCGGGAGATCGACCGAAGGAGACAAGAGCTGGCGTCCAGATACACCCAGAGAAATGCAGCCCTTGGAGCACAGCTCCTACAGAGCAGAAAGACCCAGGAGGATTTACAGCGGCGGCTGCAGGCTCTGAAGACCGTTTACAAGGTAAAGGAGCAGCAGGGCACGGAAATACAGGCCTTGGAGAAGGAGAAAGAGAAAATCCAAAGTGAGACAGCGGCCAAGGAGGCACACACCCAGTTCCTGCAGGAGAAGGCCCCGATGGAGAAGGAGCTGGGTGGGGCAGGTCAGCGCCAAGGGGCTCACCAGGAAGTACAAGGCCTTGGCCCTGACGTGCAAGCAGGCTCATTGTGAGTTCTGTGGCAGCCTCCACAGAGGGAACCAGCAGCTACAGAAGGAACTTCAGCAACTGGGTCAGGAGTACCGCGTGGTGGAAGCTGTGAGGAGTCAGTTGGGGAAGCAGCGGCAGCTGGTGAAGGAGGAGCGGTGGTATCTAGAAGCCTTGACCAGAGGGCGGCAGCGGCTGCAGGCAGGACGCCAGTGTGTGCGCCTTCACTGTCATAATCCATGCCTTGAGGAGAGAGTGCTTCAAAGACCACGCTGAGCAGCAAATCAAGAGCAAATTCAAAGTAACAGCTACCATAACTGACTAAAGCATTTGAGCATTGGAGATAATCTGCAATCCAAGAAGTATCCATCATGGAGAATAGAATTGTGTTTTCATGAAGGGGCAGTTGTGGCGATATCGGACTGTGCTCCTACCCTGGGATACATATACTGGCTGTCTGCCTCCCTTGGGCTGTTGTGGATTCCAGAGATTTAGAACATTGGAAAAACTTTTTAAAGAGTAGTGCTATATTTTTATAGCAGTATTTGAAATTCTCAGATCATTTAGTTATGACATGAATTTCAGTTCTAATTGTGTACTTTATAGTCCACAAAGTGCAGTATATAATCCGTATGCTCTGTGTATTTTTACCCATTTGAAACAAGTAGGAATCTCATTCTAAACTGTGGGGAATTCCGTTTGTTTGTTGAGAGGGGTTGTATGTTTGCATTTGTGATAGGCTGGTTGTTTGTTGGACTGTGGGTTCTGATCTGAAAGAATGATCATGTGTTTTGGCAATGCCCCAGCCTGGGAAACTGTGGTTGACTTTATGTTTCTCAGAAATTATTTGATAATGAAACCTTCAAAGTAACTTTTTAGAATTTAGAACCTTCATTTATATGTAAAATGAATTCATTTAAAATAGGATTAAAAGGAGAATTCACTTTTCAATGTGTCGTAGAATATAACTTTAAGCATTGCTGATGAAATGTGTACTTTGCCATTAAACAGTATTGTTAAAAACAAAACCTACTTGTGGTTATTTCTTACTCCCCCAGCTCTGTAAATGCAGTAGGAATATTACATCTTTTCTTATTATATGTTTCACTATATTATTACCACCCTTTTGATGCGGCAGCAGGACATTTATGTGGTGAGATAAAATAGACAAATGATGCAAGCATCATGACCCAGAGTTAAGCCACTGCATCAAGGCTACTTTAACACAAATGTTGTAGTATGACAACAGTCTGCATACATCAGGGATACACTGGGCAAGGGTCACTTGTGACCTTTTGTAATGCTAGGATGGTGCAATATTTCACTGCGTTTCTGAGACACATAAAATGTATGAGTTGTTTCCCTTCAGCATTTGGTTTTGGGCTGAAGATAACTGAAAAGGTAGGAGGGGGAGCCATGGGTTAGAGGGGCTGCCACAGAGCCAATCCAGGTCCATCCTTCCGCCACGGTAATGGAGAAGCATTCCTGTACTTCGTTTCCTTTCTCGTGGAATAAGCATGGTGAGTTCTCCGACTTTGGAGGCTAACTGCGGCTCTTTTTCCTTTGTGCCTTGCACCATTTCTAGATTGTCTAAACAGTGGGCAGGGCTGGCTTGATGCTGACAGGTTGCTTCAGGCCTCCAGAGCTGAGACAGGTAATCTTTTTCCTGACAGCCTGGAAAATACACATATAAGGCCTTGTGCTTCCTGTGGATTCTACGGCATAACACTCCACCCCACAGGGCAGAACAGCTACAGGAAACATAAAGGGCAGGACAGAGCGACAGTAAGATCTCATTTACAAGACAGCCACAATTTATCCATCTCTGCTCTAGGAGAATAAAGGTTTTCCCACTTCCTTCCTGCACCATCAAAAGGTACATGTGTTGGCTGTGAATATGCAGGCATGAGAGCCAGATGTTAGCTGAAATGCTGAGTGAAAGTGAAGCCACGCTTGGGGGCAAGCCTCTTGAGAGGAGAAGGTGCCTCCTCCACTCCACTAGGCTAAGGATCCTCTTGCTGGTCAACCCCCCCCCATCTGTGTTCTAACCCATCCGGACAGATCCTAACCCTCTTACCCTAACTATGAGCACCCATGCAACATACACACAGAGCCGGCCAGTCTACAGGAAACATGGGAGACAGACACCTTCCAAGAAAAAATGAATTCTGGGCTTACACTGAAACAATCCAAGCTACTCCATATGAAACACACACTCTTCATTCTTAGAATTCCCTTGGGTTTTCTTTTTCTTCTCCTTAAGTTCTAGTCTCCCACCATACTGCTTAGCTTCCCATCTTCTAGTAACTTCTGTCACCTTGTTAGGCAGAACTACTGAACCAATGAATCTCAATGCATCCCTGTGCTTCTCTTTACACAGCAGCTGGGAAATCTCATTTTCCCTCTAGCCACCGCAGGAGAAAGGGGCCGCTCATGTCACCATATGCTTGAAACCACCCTCCCTCTCAACTCAAAAGCAAGCTTGGTTTTCCTTTTAAATAACATATTTTTCTTCCATGACATAATTGAAAATATGTTCGTTATGATTTTTTCATGTTGTTTTGTAGGCTCCAGTGTAAACAGGAAGACAGAGTTATAAGAGGGAAGGGAACACTGCAGCAGTCACCCAGCAAGGCGGAAAGGACGCCATGACGAGCACTTCAGTAGCAAGAGCACCCTGTTCTCCTGAGATGTCATCATTGTGTGTGGTGCCAGGGGCCTCTATCCTGGGGTGTGTTTCTTCTAGAACAGATGCTAAAGAGTGGAGCCCATCGTACTGACAAGGGTGGTCCCATCAGACTAAACACATTTGTCGAACAATGATGAGAGAATACTATGCCATTCTCAAAACAACATCTAAAAAACTCAAAACCAAAAGACAGATGCCCACTCTACTGTGTTGTCAAACATGTCTCAGCCAGAAATTACTCAGACAGAATTACTATCGGAATATTCAAGAAAGGAATGCAAGGAGACGAATGTCTTACTGTTGTGTGAACTCTCTCTTACTGTAACAAAAACGGAAGACAGTCAATTTAGGAAGAGAAAGGGGTTGATGTGGCTCACAGTTTGGGAGACTTTAATCTGTAATACCTTAGCCCTGTTGCTTTTCAGCCTGTGGCAAAGACTTGCATCATGGAGGAGGCACGGGCTCAGCAAAGGTACTCTGGAGACTGAGACAGGATCATAGGCTGAGGTCCCCCTGTCCCCTTCAAGCCTTCTCTCTCCCAGTGATGAGAAGAGCTCTTTAAAAGGGCCCTTTTCTATCATAGATCTGTGGGCCTAGAGACCAAGGCTTCAACACATGATTGTCCTATCACTTGATGCCTGTCTCTTCCTCAGTTCCAACTAAGGAAACCTTGCCCGAGGCATCAGTGAGGCATACGTGGCCTCTGCCCATCCCACCCCACCCCTTGCATGTGTTTATAAAGAAGTCTTTCCAAGTTCTCTGCTTCAGGGAAAGTCTCACACCCTCTGCCTTTGGTGCCTGGAGAAAGATACTAGAAGACCCCAGAAGACACAGCCCTTCTTCCTGCTGAACTGAGAGTCCCCAGGGTGGCAGAGCTACCAGGGAGCAGGGCACAGAGACAGTCCCCCACCACCTGTGGGCCGCCTGTGCTTCTGGACTCTAAGAGGATGCTGGACTCTCAGTCATGGACAAAGTCTGTGAGGGATCAGTCAGTCTCTTCTCTGGTTCTAACATGCCACAGAGTCCCCAGTCGGAGTCCCCAAAGATATTGTCCTGTTGCCCAATTTTGGTCAGGTGTCACACCAGAGTGCAGGAAATCTGGGAAAGCAACTGTCAAGGCGTCTGAGCTCCCACTTGGATGTCCCTCCAAATAGAGAGGGTTTAAAAGATAGATTTTTAAAAATTGGATACATCAAATGTCCATCAAGACAGCATGTGGCCATGTATGGTTACTCTCATCCTCAGATCTAGCTCTTTTGCTGTGTCCTTTTGAGAATTAAAAAAAGGGAAATAAATAAAATTAAAATATAACTTACACATTAAATTATGCAATCCAAAACTTAGAGGAAACCCCACATATCAGGGGACTCCAGGAATGAGCCCTGGTTATTTCCAGGAAATCTTAATATTCTGAAAGCAAGGAAAGGTGAAGCATTAGCTTAGGGCTCAAAGCCAGGAGATGAAAAGTTCACACTTTCATGGTTGGGTTCCTAGGATCTGTAAGAGGGAAAGTTCACACTTAAAGTCAAGTAGACTCAGTGTGGTGGTTTGAAAGAAAACGGCCCCCAAAGGGAGTGACACTACTTGGTTGGAGGAAGTGTGTCACTGTCGAAGGGGACTTTGAGGTCTCATATATGCTCAAGATGCTGCCCAGTCTCAGATCACTCCCTGTTGTCTGCAAGTCAAGATGTGGGACTCTTAGTTCTTCCTCCAGCACCACATCTGCCTGCACACTGCCAAGTCCCGCTATGATGATAATGGACCGAGCCTCTGAAACTGTAAGCGAGCCACCCCAATTAAATGTTTTCCTTTATACGCATTGCCGTGATCATGGTGTCTCTTCATGGCAATAGAAACCCTAACCTAAACATTCAGGGTACATGATTTTGCCCTTCCACTCTAAATCTTATACAAGTTACTTAATATCTCCCAGCCTCTGTTCTCTCAGTTTTAAAATAGTAAAATTGCCCAGCGTTAAATAAGATAAAGCATGTAAAGTGGCAGGCAAATTGTTGCTCAATAGATGTTTCCCTTCCTCGTCCCTCTATGGAATTAAGACAAATAAGATTCCTACTTGTGCAATAAGCTAGCTTGTATATATTGGTGTAATTTCACCTATTAACAACTATCTTATGCAAGCCTTCTAAAACTGCTATGAAAAAGCATCTATAATTACTTTTAATAAGAATCTTAAATGAAATCGTTTTGTTACAAAGGGCTTTTGTTCTAAATGGAAAGCATAAAAGCTATCAAAAAGGATTTTATTATGGCTAAGTAACTGATAGTATTTGATTTCTGGGCTCAAATAGATGTAGGTAAATTGACTTTGGTAAGGCTGTGTGCCTGCCATTAGGTTAAGTGTTTTATGTTAAAATTTTACTATGCCCTTTTATCAACATGGAAATAAGAGGCTAAGGGCTATTAAATGATACCATCCCATTGTAAAAGCCTGCCAGAATGAAACTCACACTCAAAGTACATTCATAAACCTCTCCTTTTTGACTGTGCTGTGGGTGTCACACAAAAACACGGTGGGTGTGGCAAAGTTCAATAGGTGGCCAAGCAGAGGCAGTGACAACTGATGGGCTGCCTGTCCCCATGTCACAGACCTTACCAGTAAGGACAACATGAGACCTGTGGATTTAGAGGCTGACACAGCACAGCAGACAGTGTAAGGCTTGTGTGGCATCTTCTCCCCTGGTCCTCCAAGTCCCACGGCAGGGAAGAGAGAACAGAGGTGGACACCACGCAGCCTGGGTGTGACACTGAGGACCACTGAGCTTCCGTGAACCCGTGTTTGTTGTAACAGCACCTCTGGGAACTTGTCATCCTCCCTCCGAGAGAGCCACTGTCACTATTACTCTGAAATGTAAAGAAGTCTTCCTAAGCACTGGGAAACCTGTCTTTTCCCTGACCTGCCTGTCTTGACTCTTGGGATGTAAATGAATTTAAGTACATTTGCCATCAATGTCCATATGTGAATAAAAACTGTGGGAGACCTAGAGACTGTCTTCCATTCCCAAACCATAATAAGATGGTAATACACCAGCCTTGTTTGTTTGCTCTGCCTTCATTAAACACATATCTCCTCCTTTATATGCTCATTCAAAATTAATTCACTGACTGAAAATGAAATCGTCAGAAGACTCTGATCCCCACTGGGGGAGTCTTCCAAGTAAGTACATGATGCCATGTGGAGCAAAAGATGTGAGCGCCTGAAGATTGCTCCTTAGGAAATGGATGGTCTCAGACACATAGACTCTTCCATTCCCATGACGATCATTAAAGTCTGTTTCTTTACTAAACAGTATTGAGAATTTTGCTATATATTAAAATGAC